TGATTATTTTTTCTGCACCACAGCCTTGGCTCGACCAATGGGAGAGTCGGGGGCGTGGCTAAGGGTTTGTTCGCTCATTGGCTGATGGGGCTTCGTGCATACTCAAGCTTTGAACAATTTATAATTTCTTTGCAAAAACTTAACGTACTATACTGTTGCTCATAACCTCCTTACCACTAATAACCTCTTGTTATTAGTGGTTTTTAATATTTATATTTTCCTCTTGGTCAGCATTTAAGATCACTTGTTTTAAATTAGCATTTTACGCAGATGACACAGAGATGCACATGAATTATAAATCTGTAATAATATGACTGTTTGTTTTCTTTCTGACATCAAAACATGATGACGCAATTTCGCCTGTAAGCAGCATTAAGACTGATAAAGGTATTAATATTGTCAGTGGAAGCTTGTAAATGTAAGTTTGATGCGAGCTTAACATCAGAATAATGTTTTTTTTTCACCTCAGAGATATGTTATCTTCTTCTCTGTCTGGAAGCTGGTCGATATTCTTGTGTTTTTCTCGCATTGACATGCAGTGATGCGCTTCTTGCTGAGGTCTCCAAAACAAATGCACAACAAATACATGTCGATATGTGCAAAACTCGTCTTCAGAACCCCGAAGTGATCCTGTTACTCTGATCCTGAGTCTGCCAGAGCTTCATCATGTATATAGTCAGCCAGTCGCTTTGTATGGAGGACAGAGCTTTACCTCAATCTAATCTAAAGCCATTTAACTCTTGTCATTGTTTTAAAGTTGATCATTTAAATTGATATGCATTTTTACTTATTTTGACTTTTATAGCTACCTTGCTTCTTATGTTTGTCTTCCTTGAGGGCGCCGTATGAAAGTCAATATCATTATTATTATTATTATGCAGCAGCTGGTTACAGTAATTACAGTAGCGAATGCACCGTGGCGTTGGCGGACCGAGCGTTGCGTCATTTGAATGCAGCTCGACGCGACAGATAGCGATAGAATGTGCTGCCGTCAGGATTGACGTCACGTGACGCTGCTTCAAGAGTTTGGCTATAAAAGCGCGTCCCCGCGGCGCCTCAGATCAGAACTGCTGCTGCATGCCTCAGAGCTCCAGTCCCGAACCAGAACCAGAACCAGAACCAGAACCAGAGCGCCATGCTGCGTGTGCGATGCCTGAGAGGAGGGAGCCGCGGAGCAGAAGCCGCTCATCTGATCGGTGCTATGGTGAGTCTTTAAAGAGTAAAGGACTGGAATGAGTGTGTCATGAGATTCTTATGTAATGCATTTACAGAAACTCACACGTACCATCATAATTATAAAAGCTGATTGATTTGATCATTTAAAAAAATGATTTGTAGTGTTAAACTCTTAAATGCATTCTGAGACTGTAATCATCTTATGATCATGTTCTTAGAAACAGTTGCATTGGCTGGGAGCTGGAGATCATGTGTTGTGAGTGAGTGACAGCACAGCTGTAGATCAGAGATCAGAAACTCCAGGAGCACGCAGAGAGCTGTAGATCAGACCGTACAAGCGCAGGCAGTGCGTTATTATCGCGATCATTGCGCAACAGCAGCGTGTCGGAGTCGAGTTCGAACCCTGATTCCCGCTTTGCTTCATTCATCCAATTAATTAATTCCTGATGCAGTGTGCCATTTACAGAATGCCATGCCTTTTAACACCCGTAATGTGATTCTGTGTGTGTGTGTGTGTGTGTGTGTGTGTGTGTGTGAGTGTGAGAGTGTGTGTG